GATCCGGGTTAGAAAAGGTCTTCAGCAACCTATGCTTATCGTAACAGACGATTATGCTTGTCGTTAGGGAGACTAACGGGATCGGGTGGTCAGGCTGGCTGACTTGGTTCATGCATGTCATCGTATCTCAATTGCGTGGATCGATGTTCATGATATCAATCACTGGATTGTCTGGTCCAGACTTGATTATTTGCAGCCCGTCGTCATATAGCTGGAACAGTGCTGAGTGCTCCGTTAAACAACAAACAAACCCTCATATTACCATAGTTAATTTGTCATGATTGGTGGATATTGCAAAACGGCCGTCCAGTTGTGGGTGTTCTTAAACTTGTTTTGAGTAGTATAGATGTTATCCTAGGATTGATTATAAAAAATCGGGCATTTGCGTAATGCTTCATGCAGTGGTTGTAATATACATGGTTGCCGCTTCACCTTAGACCACCAGTACATATATCTACAGAAACACACGCAACGGAATGCCGGGTCAGCATGGGCTCTATTGTATCAGCCTTGTCACTATATAGAGACGGCTGAAAAGGGATCGAGCGGTCACCCTCTGGCCCCTCGTGCACTGATGACGTGAATCGTTGCCATGCAACAGCATGTTTAGCATCACCTGCACACATTGAACACATCGAAATCACGGCGCTGACATTAATGGGTTTCCTACATTGTACCAATGATGGGAATCGAACCCGGGTTTTCTGTGTGTTTGTTTGTTGTTTAACGCCGCACTCAGCAATACTCCAGCTATATGACGGCGGTCTGTAAATAATAGAGTCTGGACCAGACAATCCAGTGATTAATATCATGAGCATCGATCCATGCAATATGGATACGATGACATGCATCAACCAAGTCAGCGAGCCTGACCACCCGATCCCGTTAGTAGCCTCTTACGACAAGTATAGTCGCCTTTTATGGCAAGCTGGGGTTGCTGAAGACCTATTCTACCCCGTGTAGAGTGCGTTAAACAAACAACCAATAACTGGATTGTCTGGTCCAGACTCGATTATTTACAGACCGCCGTCATATAGCTGGAATATTGATGAGTGCGGCGTAAAACAACATGAAACAAACAAGAAAGAAGGCAGTATCTGAAATAGGACGCATAGAATTTACCCTTTGCTATAATACAAAATGACGGTCAGGAGAAGGAGAAACACAACAGCCATGGCTAGTGCTACAACACACAACTATTTGAGGCTAACAAGTGTTACATTACTGCCAAAACTGCCATTGTACCTTTTCTAGTTAATGCATGCGAAACGAGAGGAAAATTCAAAATAATGCGTAGTACTGATTCTTAAGTATTTGGGGGCACGGGTGGCGGCGCCTTAGACGACTTGGCCACCCGTGCCCCCAAATTGGTATAGGCAACTTAGGCCAACCGAAGTATGACGTATTTCAGTTAACACATACCTACATTGTGAGGTGAGGTGAGGTGAGGTGAGGTGAGGTGAGGTGAGGTTTAACGTCACGTCCAAGATTATTGCACTTATATAGCGACGTGCATGCACGTGTATGTGTGTGTGTGGCTGCTTGTACTAATCCGGGCTGATGCCGATTTATAGTGCTAGCTCACTGAGATACCATGCCGCAGTTTAACATGAATACCCCACTCAGACACAGTATACTGACTCCGAGCCGACTTGTTTTAGCCCCTTTATGCCGAGCGATAACAGGGTAACAACAAGTACCATCTTTTAACGTCTTTTGGTATGACGCGGCCGGGGATCGAACCCCGGACCTTCCGCTCTCCGGGCGGACGCTCTACCATTAGACCACGGAGGCGCTCGGTTATACCTTGGTCAACACAGGTTCACCTGGGTCGGGGGCGGTAGGATAGCCGAGTGGTTAAAGCGTTCGCTCGTCACGCCAAAGACCGGGTTCGATTCCCCACATGGGTACAATGTGTGAAGCCCATTTCTGGTGTCCCCCGCCGTGATATTGCTGTAATATTGCTAAAAGCGGTGTAAAAGCAAACTCACCTGGGTCGTCCAGGGTTTTCAAATCAAATGCAATCAGTGATATTGTTCAGCGCAATAATACAACACAAGCCCCGCCACTCTAATATCAGCCAATCAGGAAACAGTACTCCGTTAGTGGGCGTGGACTAATTCTTTTCAGGTGAATGGCAACATGCGCAAAAAACTTGCAATTGGTTAGCAATAAAATGTCATGGACTCGCTTGCAATTTATTTATCGATGAGTGTACAAACATACATTGTCCAGATGTCTCAGCATCCCAAAGTGTTAACCCACCCACAGGTACTACATCCGAAATAGCTGCCTCCCTGACCCGAAGTAAACTGAGGAACAAAAGAAACTATACCTCTCAGTTGATTTTATCATATGTTTGATTTTCAGTTGGAAATCACTTGAGGTAGCAGTGTTACATAAAAAGATAACTGCATTGGCGCTTAGTCAGCACGCAAAGAAAACTTCTGCATGGTTCTATTTTGCAAGATATAATTTTCAAACTGTTAAAAAATAATACAAAAACAATTCGCATAATACACAATCGCTGATGGGTATGTCTGACATATTATCTTTGAAAATATTATTTTTCTTTTGCTTTTTTCGGCACAAAAATTACAACATTTCAAATGTGGCAGGGATCATGTGGTTGCAAATTAATTTCACAAACACAAAATTACCCAACCACAGATTACTTTTTATAAACTGTTGCAGAAATGAGTGATGGTAAAAAAAGTATAATCAAATTTAATAACAGTTCTTTCAATTTCCAATTACATAAAAACAAACTCGGCATTCTTTCTTTTGCCCTGAGTTAACATTGGCTTCACATATTTCACCTAGTAATGATTCGCATTTTCCTTCCTGTCTCCCTTCACCTTATTCCTGGATTAATTTAGTCGCGAACTTATCTAAATCTTATTTTCGGGAACACGAGCCCTGTTGCCTAAAGCGCCGCATTTCGCTGCCAAGAGTTCCGTCCCTTGTTCGTACCAGCATCCATTGAGTGTGGTTTGAATTCCTAGTTTGGCGTTCATTATGATTCTTATGTTCGGTTTCCCCAAATCGGTACTCTACGCTAAGGATTTGGGTGAGTTTGGGCTTTCTTCTCCATCAAGCTGACACGTCTGGACGGAACGCGATAAGTCATTTCTCAATGGCTGCTGGCGTATTTGTCGTGACGGATCTTCAGCACTGTTGGATCGTGATCTGTGCTGCGGGTAGAGGGCTTCAGACAAATGTCATATGAGAGTTATTAAACACACTGCCTTGTTAGCAGTATCTTATGAGCACGTGTTTCAGAGTGTAGCACGTGGCCGCATCCTGTGAAATGAACTGAACCTACTGTGTGTCAAAACATGTTTTTATATTCAAAGACGAAAATGGCTTTTATACAAATGATGTTTTTACCTTTTAATATTTATTAGTAAATTATCTTTCAATTACCTGTATATACATACTCTCTCTTAATTCCATTCGGAATGGCTTGTGCATATTTTAAACACTGTATGTATCATCTGTAAATAATGTATGCTCAAGGTGAGACTCAAATACATTATCTGTCTGTCGGTCGGTCTTCGCTGATCCAGACAAGGCGGTGATGGGACGCGCACCCCCTACCCTTTGTGAAGCATATAATAAACTAAAACATTTCTACATTCGGAACATTTTCTAGGTAAACGTATGTCAACACCGGTCACAAGAAAGTATAAACTTGAAAACTGGATTCGACCAAAAGATTACAAACGTTATTAAAACGTGACTAGATGAAAACAGTCGCCGGAACATGCAAAATTAAGGTCTCAAACAAGACGATTTGAAACCCGTATCAAATAATCACCATCGAATAACCATTTCTCGATTGTTTCATTTTAAGCCACAATCAAACATGGGGTGATCTTTTGCCCGTTAGTTTATTTTATTTTTTTCTATAAAAGATATTACACATTGCCAACCGCGAATTGCCAAATCCCATTATATGCACCTCTGCTTTTCGAGAAAGCTATGTTCACGCTTAATAGATATCATTTTTTCCCAGCTAACAATAACCTATATTCAACACCACGCGTATTCAACTCGAGTATTAGTTTATGATAACAGGTTTCAGGTTTCCAGCAAAGTCTGTTTCCAAATTCGTGATTATTAAACGTATATGGTATTATACGTTATATGATAAATAGACGCCAAGTGTGCTCAATATAGAAATGCCAATCAAACCTTAATTAATCGTTGTTTACGGAGCTTTTAGTTATTTGAAGAGACAACATATCAATGAGTTTTATATCAACAGTGCGCTTGTTAGGCAGTGCCGGGTGCCGGTAGATATATAACATACACCACACTGATGGATATAGCTAAAAGGGGAAAAACAGAAGCGGGGAAGGACTGGCAATAGCAAATAATCAGTAATGCAAAATAAATATGTTTTTCTCGTCGAATGGGTATTAGCAACGATAGGTTTTCCATTGTGTGTCTGGTACTAGGTTTCAGTCGTGTTCCTGGTCAAATTGAAGCTTTCCACTGAATTATCACAATCTCTTCGGTCTTCTAAAACATTGGGTGCGCCCGTTGTTTTTTAAAACTCCGCTAAAACGCTATCCGTGATAGATCTGTGGGTAATGAGACGGTATCGATTCTGGGCGTGGCCGATCTGGCGTTCAATATCTGTCAGGCTGTATGTCCGTCTAGACATACGATACGAAGCGTTGCATAACTATAATGCGGGTGATCTGAGAATATGAACCACTTCTGCACCACACATCCCATCACTGCTACCAAACTACCTCGTTAGCTGGAAGAGCGCTTCTTTCGACTGTCACAACCATCGGACCAGACGGCTATCCTCACGTGCAAGCCTAAACAATCGATATTTCGACGCGAGTTAGTTTCGTGGAACCTTGTCAATAACAAAACTTGTCGATATGAAATGGCCGTCTGACGATTCTATGTTTCGCAACATGAATTGCCGGCCTTGCTGTTGACACTTCGCCATCTTTTCGTTCATGGCATCAGCTGCTGGCGGAGTAATCTCTCTCAAAGTAGTCCCGTGATGCGGTCGAGTGCGGATCGACATTATTTACACGAGGTTGTGAAGCGCCAGTTTCAGCAGACGCCATACGCTAAATGAGAAATGCGACGACTATACCATTCCTTGTTCATTTGTCGCGTGCAATGTACCACAGCCTCGGCTGAATACGTGCAGTAGATGTGGACTTGCCTTGGAGTCTAACCCTTTAAAATATATATATTTGTGCCAAGACTATCGTCGTTTTACTGTAACCGCCATAGGAGGGAGCGATCTCAGCCATTTTGGAGGATGTACGATAGTCCAGTATATATAATGTAGCGGGAATAAACGGTTTAAAATGCCGGTGCGTCGAGGACATGTGGCTCCGCCTAACATTTTCATAGACACTATCATCAGGAAGTTTGACGGCCAAAGTAAGTAGTAACACATTTTATTTATCACTGTCATTTAGCGGATTCCATATTCTACGATTTACCAATTCTCCAATGATAGCACCAATGGTCGTGACATCATTGCTGCTTGATCGTACAATAACAGTTTATAACGAAAAAGCGATGTTTTATGTTGTAAAATGCTGATTCTACTTATATTTCCCGCAGAATATATTGTTGTAAAATGATATACATTGTTCGACCAGCTGTCGAACATCTGTGCACAATTACTGGCCATGTGCACGGGAGGGGGCGATATAAAATCTATCGCTCCCCCGACCCCCCCACCCTTAATGCGACGTTGGGGGTCATGCGGAGCGGCCCCTGGCTGGTATATAAGAATATATAGTTGCACACCGTGTCATGGAATAAGCAATATCATAGAAACTGGTATGATGAAAATGCCAATGCGTGTTGACGCCTCTTAACTAGGAATGTTTACAAGCACTGTTCGTTCGGCAGCGAGACCGACCAGCGATAAATGGCGTGAACTGATATATAAACAAAACAGCTCTAGTACGACACGCAAAAAATGTTTTAGTTCCCAGCTCATGCAAAGCGTATATGGAATATGATGAGAAATATACAGTACCACTGGAAAATGTGATAAAACATGACATATGCTACCATTGACTTTTTTCGCATTAATGTTCAGTTATTATTTTTGTACTATGTGTTCCCGCATTCTAAATATTTTGAAAATGAAACTACTAACAAATAGTAACATGTTGATGCTTTTATGTGTCCATAATGTTGATAAGTCCATATATAATATAATAAATAATTTTTGAACAACACATATTTCATTTTCAGTCAATTAATTTTGAATATTTTTTATTAAAAGTTTAATAATTAATTCACTCTCATGTGCGAAATATATCGGACAACATTTTGATAACAATTATTTAATTTACATGTGTGAATGAACATAGTATACAACAGCTCAGAGAACACCGTGCTGTGAGTGATGGACTGGCCTACACTTAAAGTCTATGAATAAGTCTATTGATTAACTTTGTGATAAAGACAAGCTAAATGTTGGAATTCGGTTCAAGTGCCTTGTGCATTGTACTCAAGAAAAATAGATCGATTTGGAAGTAAGATATTTTCACTCACGAGATTGAAATTGAGTTCGGATGAATACGACAGTGTGCAATGTATTATGTTTACGGCCTTTCTCTAATACTTCCTGTTCTAGGGGGAGTATAGGGGTGGGATAAGCCCACAGTGTCAGGGTTGATTAAGCATAGATTACATTTCGCACATTTTATCCATTTTGGGGAATATTACTTAAGTTTTATCGATTGCTAGTATATGGACCAATTTTTGAAATTACCGTGGTCCCTGGATCCTTGAGGTGTGCTGCTTGTAGTTCTATAGTATTTGAATGTAGGGACTCCTTTAAATCAAAGACTTATATATCTATATACGTCTTGGCTTAATCTTAACTTTTCAATGTCATTGTTATGACAAGGATACCTTGACTTTCATGCTTAATTTTGAATGCTGTATTATAAATATATTATCAATTATATTCCATTTGTGTTTAGTACACATTTATTAGGCTGTAGTTGTCCTGATTCTTGACGTATTTAACTATAGAGATGAGTTATAACAAGGTTATATTGGGATGATATAGTTATGGTTCATTGATAACTTCGAAACTACTGGGTTGGCAAAAAGCAGGGCAAGGAATTGAATGAATGTATTAAGTATTTAATGAGTCTTGTGTGTAAACAAAATGTGTACTCGGGCCATTATCAGTTACAATGGTTGAATAGCTTCAGAGTTGAAGCAGATGTTGATTACCGTAGATTGATAAGATAGAAATATATTATCCTTAGAAGGATTTGTTTTCCAAAATTACTTGGCGAAAAAACAATGATGAATGCAAACTGTAACATGCATGTATGTTATATCAAATGAATATTGTCACTGTTGCTGCACTAGGTTATTCACACTGGGCCGCAGGCATGATCAAGTGAGGTTGTTCCAGATTTTAAAGACAAAGGGAAAATATCATGATTTTATCAATTTATTTCTAAGACATTCTGCTGTATCGTTACACATTTTGGGAAGAATATTTGGACATTTTCGATCACAGTCAGTCATAGAATTGGAAGATATCTGAAACATTTTGTCCGTGCGATGTTAAACATTTGAAAAGCTCTGTTTCATCACTATTTGATGTGATTCATAAACACATGCTTCTGATATAGTCTAAAACTTACAATATACTCTGCTTTTAGTGAAGTTTCTTTCATTATGTAAAGGGAATTTGTCACTTATATCTATCCAACAAAGGTTGTTGACATTTATAGAAATAATTTTATTAACATAATGCACGTAACTGATTCAACGTTTGACATCCCGAATACATGCTTGTATCACCAGCTGTTGTCGTGCGACATGAAAACAATAGCTTTACAACAATGTTCTAATATTGCTGAGTGTAAATACTGTTCCTAGCTGCTTGCCATGGTTTTACTACCAGCGATGTCTGATTATGATCTTCGATCTGCAAACTGGTAAATGTGTGCAGCAAGTTCAAGTTTCAGCATTCCAATCCTGGGAACTGAAACACTGAAGTGTATAAGGATCCATCATCTGACCTATTTTGACTTTCCTCTTAAATTATGATACCTTAAATACTTAATGATAATTTTCTGACACTTTCCAAGTTATTAGTACTTTTGATTAATAGGGGCCAAGGTAATTGACCCTTGAATAAACAAATGCCTCTCCAGTTTCCTCAAAGTAGTCATATTGGCATATTTACTGCTAAAAATATTTTTTTTAATTTATTAATTTTATTTAATCATGATGTAAATAGGCCTTTACATTGCCAGTGTCAAGGTAATTGGAGCTAGAATAAACGAAGGACTCTGTTTCTGAGCTCCGAGCAATACAGCCCTGTGAGCCTTGCCCTATATTTGTAGTACCTGGCAGATTAGTATCGCAGGTTATGGTCACATGACCTGTGAGTATTAACATCAATCTGTGTTATTGCCAGACATCGCGATGACACTTAGTGTTTCATAAATCACAGCAGTTGGATAACAAGGATACAGCCCTGTAATATACAAGCAATTCACACAGAGTGCCCAATTAATCTCTCAGATTAATTAATCAGTTCTGATTAATTAGACTAATGTGTGGGAGTGAAATAACACACTTGCTATTGACAAGGTAGCCTCCCCCATCTTTAAGTCATGTGTTTATTCAACGTTGACAGATGGTGAATATAGCTCTATATCACCTAGAGTGGATTAAGGCAACGTAACAGGCCAAAAATACCAGCTACAGTTTATGAGGCTATCATTGATTTTGAGATTTTAATAGCAAAGTGCATGAAAAAGTTTAGTAGCTGCTGTGGAAGTTGAAAGCTGTATTTTATAGGATTATGGCAATAAATTTAGTGTGTCGTCATCAAAGGTTCCTGATTAGAATAATGCATGTGTGTTAAATGAGGTGTTTATGACGGACAATTCAATATAATTGTCAAAGGTGTGGGGCCTGGAAGATAAGTTCAGTCAGTTCACGATGCATGTAATAATATTTGTATTACACCCTGCACTGTTTAGATATTTCTACCCGAGTTTCTTATTGGTGTATGTACAAAGAGGCTCTAGAACATTGTTTTGATGCATGATCAGCAGCTCTTTGTAGAGTCAACAATATGTTACTGCACGTGTTTATTGTGTGTGGGGGTACCTTTCAATTTACTTTGAAAACATTTTTTCTGTACAAGCATATTGAAAATAGATATAGATCCAGGGTTTGTGTAACTCAATACCTCTAAACTAAGGTGTTTTCTGTATTCAGTTTCAGTTGATAAATGTTTGGCTCATGCAATTCAGAAAGCAGTGGCTTTAGTTTTAAGGGTTGTTTTTGTTGATGTTGATTCCACTTGAATTGTTTTATGAATCATCAACATCATTATTATTTCAAGAGGAGCTTTCACATTTGCTTGCATTTATCGTGTAGCATGACAAAAATAAGTGTGGTGTGTAGATTTACTAAGACAGATGCAGATTCTCCACAGCTCTCTCAGGAGGCGTAGCGACGTTATTATCACTGGTTAATTGCAATACATATTTGCCACATACATATGAATGCTATTTGGGTCGACTGGTTTTACAATTATTGTTATTTTTTTAAATGCACATCATAATATTATGAAGCCTCAATATTGAATATATTATTAAAGTGAACAATTATTGGACTATGCAGTATTTGAGTTATAACCCTTACTTACTAAGTTTCCCTTACCTATTGATATATACAGATATTATGTATCGATATACATACACTGCAAATTGCAACATAATATTTTTTAACCTGACAAATCTCATCCCTAACAGTTAGCTTTACTTATACCATGGCAATATCTTATGTTAGGGGTTCTATTAAATGTTTACAATAAACTGACTGAAAACTTTTTGTTGAGATAAAAATAAATTTGGACCTCTAAGGGCATTGATTAGCTGATTGCAGCTATTCATTTTATGTCTGTTAAAAGGAAAATACAGCTCAGATACTAGAATAACATCTAGTCTCTGAAATGAACATATCGTACATAAAAAAACAGTTGTTCAGTTATCTTAATAAAAATATAATAAAAAGGAGCCCAGTGACTCTCTTCATTTTCAGAATGATACTGCAGTGATTTAGACTTGCCAAACATTATAGACTTGCATGGGCTGTATTTGATATATATTTGTATCAGGGTCTGTAAGACAGACTACTCAGATACATGTTGAAGGTCATACTGCTCATATATGCAACAAACAGGATCGGGTGGTCAGGCTCGCTGACTTCACTGTGCAGGGTTGCATCCCTTAGGTGGGCTAGGATCCTGTGATAGTCGGTTCCCCTGATTATCTTTCAAGGTTTACCCATGCTCATGAGTTCCCCACAGTGGTAACAATCTGTATCACTTCGGGATTTCCTCTCACATTAAACTGACATGCAGTGGTATG